TCTTGCGAAGAATATCTTGAATCAGCTGCTTTCCACCACCTAGATTCGGATGATAACGCTGGATGCAATCCTTCATCCTATCCCAAACAGCTTCAATCGGGTTAAGATCAAGCGAGGTGGCTGGCCAGAAAATCGGTTGTATGAGCCTCTATATATTTTTTCAATCCTCTACCCCAGTTTCGTCTGTCCATAAAACTGACGTCCAGTCTTCATATGTCCAATTGAGATGAGCTTCGGCCCATTCTCTGCGTGTCTTCATAGTTTTCCGAGAAACTGGAGGCTTTTGACGAGCCACATATCGCTGATATCTTCTTTTTCTAAGTTCTCTTAGTATTACCCGCTTGCTGGCACTAAGATATCTAAAAGAGCTAGAGGCGAGTTCTAGAAATGTTTTGCAGCGGTTTTCAGGTGAAGACTCAAGGTAACGTGTAATCTGATTAACATCATCTGCTTTCAGTCTTGAGGATGTTCTTTTTTTCTTTTTGGGTGAGACAGTTCCACGGCGCAGTAAATAACTAACTTTTCCCCGAGTTGTGCGTACCTGCGCGGCAATCAGCGTCTGGTTTTTGCCAGCATCATGGAGCCCACAAATCTGAAAATTTTCTCTAATTTCTATTTGTTAATTTTTGATTCTTCGACTGGCTAAAATGTTTTGATCTCTTGATAATTGTTTGAATCGAGGTGTTGAAGGTGGGGTTTGAGGTGGATTCATCTGCAGAACAAGGTTAGTGTGGAGTAAAGCCATGTTTCTGCTGAATAAACAACTTTGTTATTGAAACATCTAATTCTTATTATCAGTCAAGCACAAGATGAGAAGAGCTGTGTAATTTTATAGAGATCGGCGGACAGAGAAGCGATGGAAAAGAACTGGAGAATAGGTTGGATTTGCATAAAACTGACGGTGACAAGAAATCAAATTATGCCCTCGGTTTAGGCCCGGAAATACAGGACAAGAATTATGTACCCTGTCGAATATGGCGCTAACAGGGGTATAACTCTTGAAGCGAATTTGCGCCCCATTTAACTCCACTGCAAACTTGAAATCGTGGCAACGAATTAGATGGGTGTGCTCTTATGGCAACTGTGACAGACACATCAAAATAGCCAGAGACTGAACTGAGGAGGGGAACGGTTATTGAAGTAAGGATGTCCTAAGTCGTTCTTGCAGACTCGACGAGAATTTGATCGAAATCGACCTTGTTTGGAGTGACATTTTGACTTGATTGGGAGTATGGAATCATTGCCTCGTGGGCCAACTTTTTGGTATCGCGAAATTTGACTGCAATCGGGTCTGGGATAATTCTTCACCCCAAGGTTTGTAGAGGATACAGCGTACAGGTATCTAGCCTTGCCCTCTGCAAGGATGTCAGAAGGCGTGCTTTGATAGCCGAAAGTTTTTGGATTTCACTTTGGTGGGTTGTGGTTATGGAGAACCTAATGTTCTATGTTAACAAAAATAACTCACAGTGGTATTTGCGAAAAATACAGAACACGAGTGTCTCTGAAGCTGAAACTAGTATCTTACATTTGTACACGACACTTATATGTGGCATAGCTCTATGGCTGAATACACATAAAATGATTAAAAGTAAAAGACAGTAGCAGGAGTTTATCTCGGCAAACTGTGTCAGTTGTATGATGAGGTCTACACTTCACTAGCTTTAAATGCGGTGGCTGGCATTCCAAGGTAGATTTTGATCCATAACTGTGACTGAGGTTTGCAGAAGTGTACTGAAATTTACCGAAAAACTTAATATCGAGTGGGGAATTTAATGATTCTTTTACACTGAGAGTTTCTACTTAGATCTTAATAAAAAACTTTTACAGCTATCCAACTAATCTACTGGCGTCGCTCTAAAGCTCTCGGGTAAAATATCCATTGGTTTGAACAAAATCTATTTCGCTTTCCAAATAGCTGTCTAATTTTTACTTTTGAGAAACAATTAAAATCTGCTTGGACTCTTTTCTGAGTTATTTAATTGTTGTTATGGTTGTTGTATATTAAAGTACCAGGCAATGGTTATCCTTCACACTCACCAAAAAGTCTGAGCACGAGGAGGATCAAGATGGACCAAGCTGACTACGAGTAGGCACATGGGCCTTGACCCGCGGGAATTACCAGAGCATACTAGAGTTCACCCATGCGTTGAATGATGTCAATTTTAACCATCTAGAGAACTTATTGTAGAGGTAAGTGCTTGCGGAAGATTTATCTACTGAGGATTTCGGGATGATCAATGAAACTACTGAAATCTTAGTATTTAGAATTATTTAGGTCTTTAAGGTTGTAATGACTCATCACATACACATCCGGGGTAGGTAGACTCTCGCCTTATTTTCCAAATACAATATCACATAATTTTATACCATCATCTATTTGATAGTTTGATATAGAAATACTTTACACACAGTGCTCTGTAATGCATCTAATAATCATGATATCACCTGAAAAGTTCTTGCTTTACAGGGTGACTTTTCTCAACACCTGTCGGTGGTGTCGCCAACGAACCCCCAGCTCTCACTGTAGTGTCTGCAGAGCCGAAATTGAGTAACAAAGTCCTCACTTCGATGAAGATTCCTAATCGCTTTCGCCGTATGAATCGTCTTCATCTCTCAACGCAACCCTCTTATCACCACTATCATGAAGCTCAGCATGATCTGATCTGATGGTAGGGTCGGAGCTCTTCTCATAACTAACCCTTGATCATGGAGGAAAAGCCATCCGATGAGTTTCCCGAGCGTACCCAGCACCCGATATAGCTATGGTGGATTGGATCAATTCGGCCTCGACTGGTATATAGAAGGGAGATGTAGATGAATATGCGCACCTCATGTGGTCCCGATGTCTAGACCTCGCCTGGCTGGGGCTGCAGGTATCTTGTGACTTTTTCCCGTGCACGCAGTTTCCATCGCTACCTTTTTTATTTTTTTTTTGGTGGAAGCTGGCCAAATTCTACAGATAAGTACTGAGCTGAATGGCTATTTATCACGGGCAATGTATCAATAATCTTTGAAAGAACATAAGAGGCAAGGTGAACAGCACAAGGTGTGGCCTGGGCTAGAGAGCAGCCTAATATGCTAGATAGTCTATGACTCGAGTAGTACAATAAAAAAATCATCACATCTTCCTTCAGACCCACTGATTACTACCCTTGTATATCGTAACCTCGATTATCACAAGCGACACAAACTCGATGTCAGCACAACGTATTTTGAATTCCTTCTTAGACGCGCCCGAGCGCTTGACATCCTCACATCCTTGACTATATTTCGTCCTGTCATCTCATCTGCCTCATGTACAGTTTTTTATTAATAGAAATTTTATAATTCCTTTTTGATGAGAGGTGCAGCCACACGACCTCATTTCCTCGCATTTAATCATTCCATCGAAAACCATTTCAAGTTAAAAAAAGTTAGAACTACAACAACTATGCAATTTAGTTTCCGGTTTGGTGGGTCATCTAGATCAGCTACAAAATTTTTTGTGTGTTTGGTGAAGCTCCGTACCATTCACATCACTCAAGTCTCGCATTGTAAATTTCCTTTAATACTAACAGGAGCTCAGTATCAGACCTTGTTGCAACAATTCCCATATAACACGTTGTCGCATGTTAAATGACCTTCAATGTATATAGTTAGATGGTTACATTAACAAAACTTCTTGCTACTTGCTCCATGGGCCTTTATTGAATCCTCGGGACAAAATATGATATCCTATAATTTTAATTAGCTCACATACAATCGTTTTTTAATGGGGTAATTCAGTAGGTGTAAGCACTGAATTCGCATGAACCTATTAGCGAATAGTATTATTAGATTTGTCAATTTATACTAGTAATGTCAGTGCAGAATTGGATTTTACATGCGTTTTGCTTTAGAGTCTACTAGTGGCACGTATATGTATATGGCATGGAACGAGAGCATCAATGAGTATCGCTTCTACATCTAGCGCTGATACTTCCTAACTACTTCATCCCGTCATTATCGAATCTCTTGTTGCCGAATCTATCTTTAATATTTGCGTTTGATAAAAGGGATCGTGTAGCTTGACACTGTAGAGGATTTGAAACAAATCTAGCGAGTACTCCTACAAGAGCTAAAGTTCTACAAGGTATATCAAGGCTGAACGCTGACTCTCAATCAGCTTGTTACATGTAGTTATCGGCAAATACTTTAATATTCACACGTAGAGCAAGTTAATAATTGTAATTGATATCTGGCCTGTCTAAGAAATATGCGAATTTCAGAAACAGTGTGATAAACAAAATGGCCAACTTAAGGTAATAGCATCCAAATAAGAACGCTTTTGCGTTATAGAGGTAGCGGCCCACTGGATCACCTCAAAAACGTGGAATTTGGAGATTAATGTGTCTGCCCGTTGTTGGATGAATGGATTCATGGCGTCAAATCTCAGCAGCTATTTCCTAGCTCTGGGGCATCTGCTGAATGTAAACAGCTCACAATGGTTTAAGCTAAGCTAGCAATTTCGTCAATTACCTGAAACTGTAACCCCATGCCAGGCATTTGTCCCGCCGTTACAGGTCGAGTTGCGCACATACTTCTGCGTGTCTGTGCAGCTTTGAATCTTATCGCACTCCTGAATACCTATGTCTTAGGGATTCTTGCTCTATAGCTATCTTCCTGTTCCAACCACTAACTATTGGCCGGGAAAGGCCACCCCAGTAATTTATATTGACCATGAGATCTCCGGCCCATACGGCACCACTAAGTGTCGATTAGGTAAGCGGAAACCACTCAGATAGAGTAGCCTTGAGCTGCCACTAGGCTATTATATACGTGTCCATAATCATGACAGATAAACGGTGATCATGAAATTCTCGTCCCATAAATCCTATCCAAGACCTGCCATTCAAACCACTCTCGTCTCTACACCACAGAAGTAAAACACCCAAGAGCTTACGGTTAAAAGATTATTTTCCCTAACCTTTCCAACTAAAGCAGTTTTTTAAATCTTCAAGGCCCTTTTTGCCTATATCAATATGGAAAATGCGTTCATTAAATCTGCTGAAGATGTCTTGAAGTACTTCTCTGTCTCTGAATCACAGGGCCTAACGGAGAATCAAGTCAAGCAATACCGAGAGAAGTATGGAAGTAATGGTAAGCAGACATGGCCCTACAACACCATTTTCTAGATTGACAAGTTAATTTTGTTGCAATAGCAATCGCTGAGGAACCACCCACACCAATATGGGAGCTGATACTCGAGCAATTCAAAGTAAGCTTGCAGCTATTCTTTGGAAACTTTTACTAAATTCGACAAGGACCAATTGGTTATCATTCTACTAGCATCAGCAGCATTATCATTTGTTCTGGCTCTTTTCGAAGATGAAGGTGGCTGGACGGTTTTTGTTGACCCGATAGTTGTGCGTATCATCACAGATACCACATCTGTAGCAAAAACTAAATTCTAGCAGATTTTGACTATCCTTATCCTCAATGCTGTCGTTGGTGTATCACAGGAAAGTCGAGCTGAAAAGGCGATAGCTGCCCTCCAGGAGTACTCAGCGAATGAGGCAAAGGTTGTTCGAAGCGGAAAAGTTGCACGAGTCAAGGCCGAAGAGTTAGTTCCCGGGGATATAATCTCAATTTCAGTAGGGGATCGAATTCCTGCCGATTGTCGACTTCTTAGTGTTCAAAGCAACAGCTTCTCAGTAGACCAAGCCATTCTCACTGGCGAGAGTGAAAGCGTTGGTAAGGAGACCATTGCAGTCCCTGACCCGCAGGCGGTGAAACAAGATCAGATAAACATCTTATTTTCTGGAACGACTGTCGTTACTGGGCATGGATATGCGGTAGTTGTTCTAACCGGCTCTTCTACTGCCATAGGAGATATTCACGAAAGTATTTCTGCTCAGATTTCATCGCCGACTCCTCTGAAGAAGAAACTAAACGACTTCGGAGATGTACTAGCCAAGGTCATCTCAATCATCTGTATCGTTGTCTGGCTTATCAATATTCCTCACTTCAACGATCCGTCTCATGGAAGCTGGATAAAGGGGGCTGTGTACTACTTAAAGATAGCAGTCTCCCTAGGAGTAGCCGCAATTCCAGAGGGCCTAGCTGTCGTGATTACGACATGTCTTGCACTTGGAACCCGTAAAATGGCGGCTAAAAATGCCGTTGTGCGCAGTCTACCATCTGTCGAAACACTCGGAAGCTGTAGCATTATATGTTCGGACAAAACTGGGACTTTAACCACAAATCAAATGAGTGTAAATAAGGTAATATACCTGAATGAAAATGGCACTAGCTTAGAACAACTTGATGTTGATGGAACGACCTTCTCCCCTAACGGGAACATCACACAAAAAAATTCTACATTAACAGATATAGCTTCAAAGCTGAAAATTGTTCATCAAATAGCTGAAGTAGCTGCTATCTGCAACGATACTAAGCTAGCATACGATTCAAAGACTGGAACCTTCTCCAGTGTCGGCGAGCCGACCGAGGGAGCTCTCCGGGCTCTAGTAGAAAAGATAGGTACTCCAGATACTTCCTACAATCAGAAACGCAGCGGCCTTTCTACTCAAGAAACCCTTCATTATACTAGCATGTGGTACGAAAAAGAGTTACCCCGCGCTGCGACATTTGAATTTTCACGGGATCGAAAAAGTATGTCAGTACTAACTGGAGATGAACATAACCAACGATTACTTGTCAAGGGAGCTCCAGAGAGTATTATTGACCGCTGCACTTCAACTGTTGTTGGAACTAACGGGAAAATCGTACCAATGTCAAAATCTCTCAATGAAATTTTGTTAAAAGAGGTTATAGACTGCGGCAATCGAGGATTACGTGTAATTGCACTCGCAAGCGTCCAAGATATCAAAGAAAGGGCCCTCCTCAAAACCGCTAAAACTACCAAAGAATATGCTAGGCTCGAGCAGAATATGACCTTGATAGGTCTTGTTGCGATGTTAGACCCACCTCGCCCGGAGGTCGCTAAATCGATAGAGAAGTGTAAATTAGCGGGAATACGGGTGATCGTCATTACTGGGGATAACCGTAACACTGCCGAAGCTATCTGCCGCCAGATTGGTGTTTTTGGAATGACGGAAGATTTACATGGTAAAAGCTTAACAGGCAGGGAGTTTGACAATCTCAGTGAGCCCGAGAAAATTGAAGCAGCCAAAAATGCATCCCTATTTTCAAGGGTCGAACCAAGTCACAAGTCAAAGCTTGTAGATTTACTCCAGTCCGCTGGAGAGGTTGTAGCTATGACAGGTGACGGAGTTAATGATGCACCAGCACTCAAAAAAGCAGATATTGGTGTCGCCATGGGCTCAGGCACAGATGTATCCAAGCTAGCTGCCGATATGGTACTTGCAGATGACAACTTTGCGACAATTGAGGTGGCTATCGAGGAAGGTCGTTCGATTTACAACAATACTCAACAATTCATTCGCTACCTTATTTCATCCAATATTGGTGAAGTTGTTTCTATATTTCTAACAGCCGCTATTGGAATGCCAGAGGCACTAATACCTGTCCAACTTCTGTGGGTCAACCTAGTCACGGACGGCCTTCCAGCGACAGCCCTTTCATTTAACCCACCTGACCACAACATCATGAAGCAACCTCCACGGAAGAGAGACGAGCGACTGATCGGAGGATGGTTATTTTTTAGGTACATGGTTATTGGCACCTACGTTGGTATTGCCACTGTCGCTGGATACGTCTGGTGGTTTCTCTACTATAGTGGAGGCCCTAAGATTACTTTCTGGCACTTAACGCACTTCCATCGTTGTTCTTCACAGTTTCCAGAGATAGGGTGTCAGATGTTTTCCAACGATATGGCAAAATCTGCGTCAACCGTGTCTCTATCAATTCTAGTTGTCGTTGAGATGTTCAACGCTATAAACGCCCTTTCCTCAAGCGAATCTCTCCTAACCCTTCCAGTATGGAGTAACATGATGTTAGTATATGCCATTGCTTTATCAATGACGCTTCACTTCGCTCTGCTATACACGCCTATCTTACAGACACTATTTTCCATTGTGGCCCTTAATTGGTGTGAGTGGAAGGCGGTCATTATTATAAGCGCGCCTGTTATGTAAGTTTCAAATATCCCTACAGCATCACCTCGCTTAAAGAAGTCAAGAAGAAAGCTAACAATTATGATAGATTAATTGATGAGGGACTGAAATTTGTGGAGCGAAAGATGATTCTCAAGAAAGCTGAAGACCCTAGTCTTCATACTAAACTGGATTAGATATATTGTATTTGTGGAGTTATTTATGTCGATCGGGATAGTCAATATAATGGTACAAAAATACATCTTCATCACTCATCATAATGTACGGTTTGAGACATTTTTCTAACATTGTCCCGTGCATACACCATTATATAATGTCTAATGGGTCATAGATATCTGTACCCATTGTGCTTCCATTAGGCTTTTGGCAGATGCCAACTATTTTGGTCTCTAACCACAATTCTGGATTCTCTGTTTTCCATGGGCTGCTCCTATAATGGCGACAAGCTTTTTTTGGAATTATTCACTCCAAGGCGTCATACTGCTAGGCAAAATTCCTAGAATACACGTGACCATAATCTTCCCACACCCAGACTCCGATATGGATTACGGATAACTTTCCTTAATCCTGTCTTCCCTTTAACAACCGTACAGTAACTTTGTCTTTTTCAATTATGTAAACATGGGCTCCCCACCCCGATAACGCATCTCTGTCTGTAGCATTGAGCAATGCCTGTGAAATAGTCTCGAAAAGGTCTTCCGGGCCCTAGGTTGTGATTAGTTAAGAATAGACTCAGACTTATGAATTGTCAGACACCGATTTGCATACCAGATCCGGTTCCCATAGACCTTCACATGTTCCAAACAACTGATCACTCGCGGTTCCACTAACAATAAAATCCTTTGCAACGTCTGGGCATCCTATACTGTCGAACCCACAAATCAATGGCTTGCCTGTCTTTGGATCTAGCCCAGCGACAATGGGACTCACGAAAAAAGGCCCAAATCTTCTTTCGTAGAGTGACGAAGAAACAAGATTAGCCATTGTCGAAGGCGAAATGTTCCGCTCCTCACGAAGCCGATACATGTTAACTTTGTAGCGCAAAATATCAGAAACCGTAGTTACGTCAGTCGCTAGACCTGTGACTCCAAGGTACACGTTGCCATATCTAAATATTTTGGGGAAATTGTTGGATATCGTTAAAGACTGAAGACCTAGGCGGAGATCACACGCTATAGCGACGCAGTCTTTCCCCGACATAGCAACACAGGCACCACCGTCTGAATAAAATCAGATCTCATGTTGAGCCATCTGGAGGTAAAATGATATGGACGTACTGATACTAAATGGGGAGCTCTAAATTTCGAGTTTTCACCTGTTAGTATAGGTATCCAAGATAGCATCGTTCCAAGACAAACGTACCATAATGAATGGTTTTTCTCAGGTTGGCTTTAGTCTTTTCTGTTTGCGGGTTGTTACGAATTTACCACAGATATATGTTTTTGGAATGCTATGGTCGTTCCTCAAGATGAAATTCGAGATAAATGGTTATTGAGCTGGTGATGGAGTATAGACGAAATGAGCATAGAGAGCTTCGATGCTTCTACTGATCCCGGTGATAAGCTCGGGCCACTTGAGGACAGACAAACCATTGCTAACACATTCACAGTAAGTTCGAATTGTATTACTTAACGACGTCTTCACCAGAAAAACTAGTCTAAGTTGACGATTTCCAGGCGTATAATTTCCAATCCATTCATCAACCTCAATAGCAATATTGTCGGCGTCGAGTCAGCGAATTAAACTGCAACATACTGTAACTGAGGGATAACCACTTGCCTCGAAAGAGATCCAACGGTGGGCTGGTATGTTTTTCAGTCATTTAAAAGCTTCGATTCACAATTGTAGTTAAATTTCCTCCCTGAAATATCTACAAGTGGAAATCCACGATGACCTCCCACGTCGTCGTTCTTCACACTTCGGGTCGGAGAGTCAAAATCAAAGTAACCCAAACAAAGTATTTAGCTGATATTTTTGAAGAAGCGTGTCAAAAATTGGGTCTTGAATCTGCTTCGTATGATTTGAAGTAGGTTCTTGAAATCCAGCGCCATTTCTTCCTGGCCATCAACTAATACATGATCAGGGTCAATAGTAAACCACTAGATTTATCACAAACGTTACAGCAAAGTTGCCTGCCATCAGGAGCAAAATTAGAGCTGGTTCTGGCATCAAGGACACCAGCACCGGTCTCAGTAGCCCTAGACCTACCAGATTACTTAGCATCGGCTGCTTCTACCAAGCGATTTACGGAAAAGTTCTCTAGCAGTACAACACTATGGCTAGTGTTAAGAAAATTTGAATTGAACGGCGGCCATTCTTTTAACCTCACGGCCAGAGCCAGCTTAGGTAATGCTTCCGGCGATGCCAGCGTAGCCGATCGAATGTTTTATGATGAGCCAGTGCTTAACATCATGGGACGAAAGTTTTTCGGCTTCATGGACCTTCAAAAAACTTTGAGGCAACTTGGTTTCCACAGTGGGACGTGTCTGATTCGATTGGAATATAAGCGGACTGATCAATTAATTAAAGAGGCCATGAAGCAAATAACTGAGTACTTTGAAGAGAGTCCAACTGAGCCTGCTCCAAAGATAACAGATAAATCTCTATCAACACCTTTAAACGCTTCAAATGATTTAAAATGCAGCTCTATTCAAGTAGAAGATGTCTCTGATCTTCCTTCACCTTCAGAACCCACCACTTGCCCCACCACATCTAACTTGGATCCTGGGACAGGTGATCGCCCTACAACTGTATTCAGACCTCCGATGAGCTCAATTCCACAAGCTGCTTGCATCCCATACGAAGAGGATGATTTTGAGCCAACAATTGCACATGCCAAGCTGCACCAGAGTCGACTATTGAATTCCTCTCGAAATGTAAAGCTGCCTTCAGATGTAGAGATAGAGAAGCTCCAAAAGATGAAAGCCGCAAGGCTCCACGACATAGCCGAGGTTAGCATAAAAATTCGGTATCCTGACCAGACAACGTCTGTATCCTCATTTAAGCCGGATGAGACGGGCAATCACCTGTATGCGTTTGTTTCTAAATTAATCATTGAAGAGAATCAGCCATTCAAACTTATCTGGCGTGACCGCGACTCTAAGACTGTTCCTAACAACGAAAAAAGACTTGTGAATGATCTAGGCTTTGGCCCTCGCATGCTTTTATACTTTGTGTGGGACGGACCTGTAGAATCCAACAACAAATCAGCTATACTTAAACAGCAGTACATGGAGGATTCACAAGAGATAAACATACCCAATTTATCTCCACAGAAGATAGAAACACATGAGCCGGAGGAAAAACGGAATGGGGTAAAGAAACAAAAGGGGGTTGGTAAATGGTTTAAAGGCCTAGGTAAAAAATGAAAGGCTCAGGTACAAATAAACACAAGAGCTGTCAGTAGTATCTTCGTCATTAAAACTGAACGTATGCATATTATAACATTCAATTGTGCTTTTGCGTAAACGGAACGCAGTTAATCGTAACGTTTCACCCATAGATCACTAAAAATATTATGGACGTCGGTCTGTGCTTGTGGCAGGAATTTGTGCACAAACATGTCTCACGGTTATAAGCATAGTTTAATTTTTCATTCAATATTTTTATATCTCTAGTGACCGGCTCTTCGTGACTCGGCGATTACACGCTGAAGCTCGTCTACCTTTGCCTTTGCGCGGCCAAATGTCCCGAGCTGTGAAAGTTAGTCTTCAGTACCAACGAGCCCAGATAACCTTACCCTCTTCTTAGCCAACTTGCGGGCACGTTTGTCTTTGCTGTTGCGAAGTAATTCGATTACCCTTCGTTCATATGGGGCAAGTCTAAAAAGTTAGGATCATGGAAAATTAGAGTCCGCGAAGGTTACGTACCCCGATACTTCTTTGACAATTTCACGCACAAATGCAGTCCGCTTGCTCAAGTGACCCTTGGTTCTACTAACTCGAGGCTTGGTGACTCGTGCCTCAGTTTTCTATAAAGCCAGACATTTTAAAAATTAGCCGGTCCATCTTCAAGGGGAAACGATGAAGATCCTCCAAGAGGTGAGACGGGCATTCATACGTGTCCTTTGTTGAGGCCTACAGCGATTCCGCTGCGCTCTTTGCGTTCGGCTGCCATTGCGTACAAGTCGTGCGAATTGGTTTGTCGTCTATTTGTCGATGTTGTAGAGTCTAATGATGAATTAAAATTATTTATTCGTAGAGTGGGTCACGTGTTGCATGTAACTTAGCCGATTGAAAGCACCCACGTGACAGTAGAGCTAGGGGGCTTGAAGCGGAAATTTGCATGCTATGTCCACCACGTTAAATTTAATCAAATCAAATCAAATCATGCTATGTCCACTCCGAGCCAGGAAGGGCAAAATTCTCTCAGGGTCAAAATTCAGCCATCCCCCAACGGTCAGATCGACTTTTCCTGACTGAGAGTCTTGTCAAGAGGAGTAATGCTGGGCTGATTTTGCTCGAAACTCTCGGATTCCAGAGATTTCTCGACTACACAAATCACAACGAAAATTATCAAGACCTGCCAAGCTGATTATCGCACTCCCTCTCGCAACACCGAACAATTTTTGAAGTCCCTATTTTATGCCGAAAAAAAGGCCACAACATGATCTGCAACACCCTCTTCCAACGCTATTGTCGACGGGGAATTATCGGAGGACGCCAAACTTGGGTTGCTGAGCATGAATGTTCCATGACGAAATTCAAGCCTGCGAGTGAAGATTAGATAGATACCGGGCTGTGGAAGCTTTGGAAGTGTTGAAAATGAAGGACTCAAGAATTAAAGGGAATCACGCCGAAGGCTTATGGAGGCAGTCGACCCTTCAAAATTCTTATTAACTTCTTAGGCGTTGAGGAGTTGTTGGGCCTTTTTTTAATTTATCGAGGCCTTTTGTGGGCGCTGACACGTGTCATAGTCTGTACAGACTGAGCCGACGAGCAGTTGACAGTCGAAGTCAAGTGTTGTGCGCCGGCACGAAGTTGAGTGATAAGAAAACCTTGGCCGCTCCAGCGTATGCGCACGTTCCCATTTTATCCACCAAAAAAAGCACGAATGCCTTCATTTAGGAATACGTTGAAATGATCTTCAATCATAACTACAACTCCAATCTCCAGCCTACGAAACTAAGGATGGCTGCGCGTGTATGGCAGCTGGACAAAATCGCAAAAACCATTGTGTGCGCGGCCCACCGAATGCCGATATCGGTGTGACGGGCTTTCCCCGGACTGAGACTGGTCTCTAGGACCACTCCGTCTTCGTGGTGAAGCTGAGATAGAGCAGCGCTCCAGGGAATGCAAATGGTGCGCTCAAGGAGGTATCAAGGGAGGTACGTACCAGATGGGGGGTATGGTACAGGAGAAGAGGTGAGCCGGGAGAAAGGAGTATTCTCATGTAGCCAAAGGGGGGAGTTAATACTAGTCTACGCAGGGGATATAAAGGATAGGAGACGATGTGGTAGATTGTCTTTTCAAGGAAGAAGTTATTAATTCCCATCGAGTTATTGTCTTTCAAGTACATCTGAATTCATTAAACCTGTACAATTAGGACTAGGTCCAAAGATATAGCTACTCATCTAATGCGTTCTGAGAGCCCGTCTTGCTTGGTGCAACAGACTTATATGTGCATAGGAAATTCACCTCCTAGATTCCTAGCCTCGTTCCAACACTTTACCCAAGGTCGTATTTAATTGTCAGAAAAGTGTTGTCTCATTGTATTTGCGGGAAAGTAGCTTAGCGCGGAAGGCAAAGACTGAACACTTGTCCACGATGTCCTCTACAAACCAGAGAGTGAAATATTCCTCCAAAGCCAAGTCCGATCAAATTCGCGATACCTAAAAAGTTCGCTCATGAGGTAAATACTGAATACCTGTCGTGATTTCGCACCAGTTGCTTAATCTGGAGCTACAAAATTGAGGGCAATGAACGGTAAGGTTGATTGGAAATAACTCAGTATAGACGCAATAGTCTATGATGAGGTTAGCGGTAAAGACAGGTAATTTGAGGGAACTTTAGATACTTATTTGTATATACATTATTTCTCCCTAATAATACAATTATATTAAACAAGATTATGTGAATAATTTATTTGATTTATTAAATACGAAGTGTATTAAAGTTGTGCCTACATTCTTTGAGTGAGTTTCCTCTAAGAACCAATACACAACTTCCAACAATACCCTATACCAAATCGAATTTAAACTTTCAGACCCCGGCCTCAAGTAGTCTGCAAGAACTACGTAGTACATCCCTACTTCCATGACCACAACTATCATCGATTAGTCTCTGGTCTCAAGTAGCCTCGAGATATACGCCAACGCTGATATTTAAACCCGCCGAAGGTAATAAATCGTGACTCTCAAATTGGGGAGGTAGATTTTCGAGACTGACGTGAGAAGGAGTATGATAGTTGGAAAAGATAATACTAGAGATGGATACAACCATAGAATGTGTGACATTTCGACTTTTACAAAGCAGTTCAACCAAGCATTGTGCGCCACATCAGGGTATGGCCCTCAGTATCCATCAATAAAAATTAACCATTGTTGGAAATGCACCTTTTTGCATTCCTTTCTATCGACCACCTCGTTGCATGCATCTCGCCTGAACTATATTTCTGAGTTCAGGCGGGAGCCCATGCTCCTGATCCAATCAGACTCAACGTTTGAGTCTACTTGAATCCCATTCTTCCCAAATAAAAACAGTAATTGATTTGTTCGTACTTTCTATTGCACGACCTAGTATGCTGAGTCAGTAGATAATTCTGCTCTCGTCTAGGATCTTACTTATTTCTGCTGTCGAGTCGGTTCCGGGTAACCTTTTTTCTTGAAATTCTACTTTATATCATAATACCTGTAGTCTACTAGTCAATTTAGCAAACTGAACTTCTAAATTATCAGGCAATTCTTACTCTGAAGTTCTCTCTATTCTCCAACAACTATGTAAATTTTCATATTTAATAGTGAGTTTGAAAGCTGTTTAAAAAGCTCTAATGGTCCCTCATAGTCATATACTCAGCAGGGACTTGCATTAGATTCTGTTCCATTATATGCGGCATTGATTGGTTTGGAGAGCACAGACGATACTGTAAACGCCGCCAAGGTTGAATGGTGCGGTGGTACATAATCCTGTTTTTCTATTTTTATTACGAATAAGTCCTAAGCTAAAGCTCTTTATCCACAATGGATGAAAGACCGGTGGAGCCGGCAAGGTTCCCTGTAACTTTTCCTACAGCCTAAACTCTTTTTTTTTTTTTTTTTGCATCAGATTTTAATTGCGTATGTAGCTATCTAGCTATGACACAATATCAAAGAAAAGTACAAAACAGATGATTCAACGTAAAGGAAGAGCACTCATGCCTCAGATTTCATTTGCAAGTACCACTGCGAAGTTATGGCGGCTTTTTCTTCACCCCAAGTCAACCCTCATCCGTGAATACCCACCCAGGGGAACATCTCAAAAACCCTGGGTTATCCAGACATGCCTCCATCATCTTTCAACTTTTCTCCGCGCGAAATGTAATCTAAGATGTCTCCTTCCCAAGTGGAGTAGGCGCCCAGGCTACTCAAACTATACCAGAGAACACCACCAGGAGGCGGACCACAACACCTTCCATCGTTTGCTTGTTTTTATAGTGTCAGCTGCACTCTCGCAAGCGAAGTCTTGGCGCGCACAAAGCCCAATTCGTAAAACTCTTGACAAAATTCAGAATTTCACGCCCGTCGAGGTTATATCCTTCCTTCGCATCATCATGTCGACTTATCCTGATTTCTCTCACGTCCATCCCAAATAACTGTCTCCCAGATTTGTGCGCCACGCTTTTCTTCCTCCGTCGGGTATAAATATCGGCGTGGGCGTGTATTTGGCGGTCAACTGAGGCCAGAGAAGGTCGAAGAGTGGTGTGGTCATCGGGATGAGGATGTACTTGGTCGTACTTGTAGACCTGATGAGACGAAGATAGGAGTCAAACTCGTTGGGAGCGAAATAACGACATGGAGGAGTAATTTGGATTTTTGCCTCGTGGGCCAACTTCTTTGATATTGCGAAATTTGACTGAACTTGGCTTTGGGAGAATATTTCACTCCCAGGTTCGTAAAGGACACCACGTACAGGTGTTCAGTCTTGCCCTCCACAGCCTAAACTCGTTCCAACCTCGTGAACCACTGCCAAAGGTGCAGCTGATTAAACAGAAACGAAAAATCACGAAAATTAAAACAACTCCGATAGATAGAAAATTTCTCCGTATGGGACCCAAGCAATGCGCTCCTCGCACATTCCCTCGCCCATCACACCTTCCAAATGACAAATTTACTCCATCTCCGCTGATAGCAAGAGATGGATTAGCAGTCACCTTTGGTCCAGCCAGTATCCTGCTATTAGTCAGTAGATGCCTATTAGAGGCATCCTCGAGGTTGCTATTCCCTCAATCTTCCTCTTCAAATTCCAGCACTCGGAAACCTGCTCCCTCGGCCATCGAGACATCCTTCGCCGCGGCGATGATCGCCTCCTCGGCTCTTTTGGCTGCTGCTCTAGCTCATGCCACCTTTGAGAATTCCCCTTGCTCGAGGTGGCGAATCCACGCGAGCTGCTCTTTGGTCACCGGTCCAGACTTTCTGGGTCTGACTTTGCAGTCCCGAGAATCCAATCGGTGGGGTCCCCCACAGTTGCGACACTTAGTGAGGGCCTTGCACTCGGCTTCCGAGTGTATTTTGGAGCCGCAGTTCCAGCAGGCTGGAGCGCGGGAGTAACCACGAGTGGCGTGGAAGCCCAAACAGCGTTTACACTGTTCAATTTGGCGACGAGACTTGTGAATGGTAGCCATACTAGACTCGTTGAAGAGGCGGAAGCCCGTACGAGGGGCGTTGTCCTGCGTAAAAATGGCATGCCAATTTTGATATGGTGCCCCAGGTCGACATGTCCCATTAGGTCGGACCTGAATTGGAAGCACGCCGGTCGTACTGGCAATCTTGGCGGAGACCCACTCAGCATTGACCGCCCTGGGGCCACTCTCTGTAACTAGACTTACAGGTACGTTCGGTATCTATAAGGCAACAAGATTCGAAGATGCCTCGAGTTTGGCGTTTTAATTCGCCAGCTTCGAAGAGGCATCTAACATCTCTT